GTAATAAACTTTTAAATAATTTATATTTATATGCAGGGAAACATTCCCTGTTCACTTTGGTTCTAAAGCTTGCTCTTATAATGCAGGAAGCGTGTTGTATTTAAAATATTTATTTAGATTGTGATGAACAGACTCCTCTTCAGATGATATAAAAAAATCTGTTGTTGTTCATCCAAAAGCTGAGTTAAATACTGACTTCTGCAGGCAAACTAGAAGATTTATTTGATGTTTTTCTTATCAGTTATGTGTGGATAATCCCATCATATCCTTGGATGGTTAGCGTTCTGAAACAGTGATAGCAGTAATTTGTTTTTAACCCCTAAAATTACCTGAACACCTCCATGCCCCACCCAGCCACAGCTGTGAAAAGGCGCGGGCCGAGGTCCCGGGCCGGGTTTATGGGATAGCCACAGTTCAGACCCATGGAAACCCCGATGGCCATGATGATCAGCCCGATGCACAGGGGCTCCATGCCTTTCGGGGCGCCAATATTCTTCCTGTCCGTGATGGCCAGGATGCACAGGATCAGCGCACCTGTCGCAATTACCTTGAAAACAGAAACATCAGATAATTTACATACTATTTGAACATTTTTATTACTGCTGAAGCTGTTACATTAATTAGTTGATAACTGAGGCAGATGGAGGCTTTCAAAGGCATTTATTATTATAAATAAAACATTACAATATGTGAATCTGGTTTACAGACACTGACACTGACCTCGGTGCAGGACCCCCGCCTGAGCTGCCCTTTAGGTTAACTTAAGTTATTATATTTGCTTTTTAAGAGAATGTTTTCAGTCACGTCATCTGCAGCAGTGACCTGTGCCCTGTGTTTTTCTGCTTTTTAATGGACCTCAACCCTGGTTTCAGTTTATACAAGACAGGCAGCTTTACTTTCTTTAAGCAGAACTGTAAAGCAACAAAGTACAAATACTTTTGTTACTTTACATACATATACTTTACTTGAGAAATTATTTTTCAGCCATCTTTTTACTTCTGCTATTATATGGGGAGGTGAACTCCCAATAAAGCTTATTTTGAACATTCTAACAGCTCACTTTTATGCAATATTTTTATTTTTGATACTTAAGTAGCCTGGTCCTTGCCTCCCAACACAGTTCTGCTCAGTTCTAGTCTCCCTTCTCTGCTCCGTCTGGAATTTTTTCCATAGACAAAGATTTCTCTGGTAGAATTTCAACTGGGACTATCAGCGAACAGAAGGAGGAGTTGTGAATGACAACGCCGATTTTCGGCCTTTTTAGCAATGGCAGTGGAGGAAGTGAATGAAGCCAGTCCGTGTTGACGAGGCTTCCAAATTAAATTAATGTTGTCTCTCAAAGCCTGCAGTACTCATTTACAGCCACTTGGTTCAGCTCGGTACTTCTCTCTTCCCAGTAAGGGATGGTTGTTTACAGCGCATGCAGTTTCCAGTTAGCTTCTTAGCTTAGCCTCGTTCATGGTCAAGCTGGCGCACTACATACGTCACGGCCAAATGTTAGCGATTGGTTAAAATCAGATCCAATCATTTAAATTTCAACAAAGGCCACGCCTCCAGCAAGAAATCGTTTCTCAGTAGCAGAGAGTCCAGACCCTCTGTACAAAGCAAAGGGTCAGACAAGGGGCTGGTTTTTACAACGGGCTAGTTTATACCAGGCTATGAGTACAGTAAATGTCAGATACTTAAAGACTTTTACTCAAGTAATATTCTTAGAGGAGACTTTAACTTTTATCAAAGTAATTCTATAGTAAGATACTTTAACTCACTATCACTTTATACAAGACTGTGCCTTATGACCGGACACTGAATAAAATCAGTAAGTCATATTACTAAGAAATTGCTTTATTTTCTTGAAATATGTTACATTTGTTTGTGTAATTAAGAGGTAATTGCCTAAAAATTTATTAAAAAAACCATTACATATAATTTTCTTTTATAACACAAATTTGTACGAGAATCCTCATGTTAAAAAGTAAAAAAGGCTTAACCACTTGTATACAAATAAGTCCTACAGGAATCAGTTACTTTTTTAGCATAAAAGATGCTTCCAAAGTTTGTATTTTGCCAATGGTGTGAGCGTTGAGTTCTGTGAGCAGTCAGAAGACAGGAGGAAAGATGACGAACAAAGAAACTGCAAAAGCAGAAAATCTGGTAACTAAATCCCTAATATTTGAAGCCATTTGTGGTAAAAAAAAAAAAAAACCTGCATCTACAAAAGAAGATGTACAGAGATGAGGATCTGACAAAGGCCCACTGAGAAGCTGAAAGAAGATAYGTTGAGGGAGCTAAAGTCTGACAAAGAACAGGTGTGCTTCAGTAATTGAGATCTGAGGGAAGCAGGAAACAAAACCAGCAGCGAGCAGCAGCCACAGTTATAAAACAGGAAAAGATCAAAAACATGGAGGCACAAAAACATAGAAAACAGAAAACAAATGTAACAAAATCTATTAAAAAATCCTTGACCACAACTCTTTCCCTTTATCAGTTCTCAGTTTTTAGTCAGTACATTTACCTTGTTATACTATTTAAGAAAATTTTAATGATATATTATTTTACATATTTTGAAGCATTTTTATTACAACTTTTAATTGTATTTCATCACAACATAAAAATTATACTTTTACTTCTTTACTTAAGAATTTACCACCTCGTTACATGCTACAAATTTAAATATGAGTCAAATTCATCACGAAAGGAGTTGTTAATGCACTCTAAAAAATGAAGTGTTGAATTTACTTAACCAAGTAATGTCAGCTGGTTTCACTAAAGTGAGCTGAGAGAATGTAAATCAATTTACTCAACTTGGCTGTGGAACTAACATAACTTGATTAGCTAAATTCAACATGTCATTTCTTACAGTGTAAGAAAAATACCTTTACTTTCCTGCTTATTATGAGTAGCTTTATGACTTTTACTTAAGTGCTTTTCTTATCAGTAAAATTCATTTTTACCAAAGTCATTTTCTGTTAGATTTATTGATATTTTGTATATTACTTTTGTTTTCATCAGTTCACTTGTATTACTCTGCGTCATCACATAAACTCTAAAAATGAAATGTTGGATTTACTTAACCGTGTTATGTGACCCCGTTCCACTTAACTGAGTTGAGTAAATTCAAAGCAACATACTCATGTTCTTTGGTTAAAAAACTGGTATATTGCATTGAATTTACTCAACTCAGTTAAGTGGAACCAGGTCACATAACATGGTTAAGTAAATCCAACTTTCCTTTTTTACAGTGTACTTCTCCTTAGTCTGCTGCATCTGAGTATACCTGCACCCTGTTCACCTGTCACACCTGCACCCTGTTCACCTGTCACACCTGCACCCTGTTCACCTGTCACACCTGCACCCTGTTCACCTGTCACACCTGCACCCTGTTCACCTGTCACACCTGTCACACCTGCACCCTGTTCATCTGTCACACCTACACCCTGTTTACCTGTCACACCTGCACCCTGTTCACCTGTCACACCTGCACCCTGTTCATCTGTCACACCTGTCACATCTGAACCCTGTTCACCTGCCACACCTGCACCCTGTTCATCTGTCACACCTGTCACACCTGCACCCTGCTCACCTGTCACACCTGCACCCTGTTCATCTGTCAAACCTACACCCTGTTCATCTGTCAAACCTGCACCCTGTTCACCTGTCAAACCTGCACCCTGTTCACCTGTCACACCTGCACCCTGTTCATCTGTCAAACCTGCACCCTGTTCACCTGTCAAACCTGCACCCTGTTCACCTGTCACACCTGCACCCTGTTCATCTGTCACACCTGCACCCTGTTCACCTGTCACACCTGCACCCTGAACCCCTGTCACACCTGCACCCTGAACCCCTGTCACACCTGTACACTGTTCATCTGTCACACATGCACCACGTTCACCTGTCATACCTGCAACACCCTGAACACCTGACACACCTCACTCAGCCTCTTTATTTGTTTAGTTAGTTTAGTTAAATAAATAATTTTTTGTGAGTCAATCACATGTAAACAACATAAACAGGTAAAATAATGGGAAAACAACTAACCTGATCAACAAACCCATTGAGGACTGAGAGATGACTTGCAGGATAAGATGCAAATATATTGGCTGTGGCATTTACTCCAGTTACGGCAAACTCTCCATTGGTGTAATCCATTAAAGCATCTGTAGAGAAGAAATGTTTCAATAGATTTGTGCAAATATTCATTTCTTTGTAAAGAGTATCTGTTATTTCTATTTTTCTCAAATACAAATTACTTTTTTTAGAGCTACACGAAGGCTAAATTAGTCAGGTGAGCTCATTTAGTTTAGAGAGTTTACACTCACCATAATATAATCCAAAGACAGCACAGGATCCAGCAAAAGCTCCCAGGAACTGTGCCAAGACGTACACAGGAAACTTTTTCAACGGTAGCTTCCCCAGAATCACCATGGCCAGAGAGACAGCAGGGTTCACATGGGCTCCTGAAGTCATGAGGAAAACCAAGAAAAATTATTTGCACACTTCAGGATTTTCAAAATATGTGTAAAACTATAAAATCATAAAACATTAGAAAAAAATGAGCAATTATTTTGAATCAAAACAATAATAAATAGGTTTTATTTTTTTTCATAAATAAATTTAACTTTATTTTCTTATTTTAGGAATGGGTTGAGTAATATCCACTGATATTTATTAAGAATTGAGAATTCTTCAAAGATGATTGTGTTCAAAATAAGACATTACATTCAACTTTCTGTATTTTATTTCTGCTGTATTTGTGTGTCAGCAAAATATGTCGTGAATCACTGATTGACTTTGAATTAAACTTTCAGAAAGTGATCAGTTTGATGTACTGTACTGAATAACTTCAAGCTGACTCATTATGGCTGCCACAGCTAATAAAACTTGGAAAACACAAAATACATAAAACTCATTCATTTGTACAGATACAGAGCTAGAATGTRGTGTGGTAGTAGCTGAGAGTCTTTATTTAAAACCTTGGCGTGAAATGTGGGGAGCGACGTGTCCCTTCAAGAAATGCTACTTAATTACATTAGTTATGTAATGTATTTACATTTACATAAGTTCAGTAAAATTTTGATGTGAAAAATTATTAAATTTACCATGAGAATTATCATAAATAAACATATTCAGTAACTGACTATTTCATTATTTAATTCCTTGATCAAATAGAAAACATTTATGACCCTTTTAGCAAGGTAGTTAAATTTTTATTTTTCATTTCATTTATTTATTTTTTCTTGTCATTTTTCAAGTCAGTGTGCAGCAGATTCATCAAATCAGCAAAAAACTTTTCATATTCTCTAGGATTTTTGTATTTTTTTCCAGCTTATTTTATAGGTAATAATTGTTTCTAGTGCCCTCAGATCTGTTTTCCTCCTAAAGCAAGAGGAGTATTGAACACATTCCAGCCAATTGTTAGCAGGCCATGCTGACAGTGTGAGGTCATTTATTTAACACTCCAGGATCTTGGCTTTGACCTCGATGTGGTAACACCACTGGGGGTATCAGCCATGCGCCCTTTGTTAATCTCCCCATCCTGTTCACAAACACTGGCCACGACAAGCAGCCAGACCTGCCCGTCTGAATTGCATCTGACATAATCTGCCTGAATCTGCTTAAGGCACACGTAGACCGCGGGTCATTAGAATGACCATGATGTGTCACACTTTGGATACACTGTCATCTAAAATCTGAAGACTACAAAGTGAAAACAATTGTGTTTTCTTCTCCTATGGGGCCTCTCTTCCAGGGAAGCCCAGAAAGCAAGGCTGGTCACACCTGAACCCCCCCTCATCTCCGCAGACCCATGCCCCTGTAAAGCTCATTAGTCCAATACCTATGATCATCTTCAGAGATGTCGTTGGACAGAAGCTTCCCACTGAGTCGTGGACCCCAGAGATAAATGGCCCAGTCATGCAGAAAAAGCTCTTCGTATATTAACCTTCTTGTCCTCAAGCGTTTCTACTCATCTTCTGAAATCTTCCAGCTCTTTTCATTCAGGAGTTGGTTGTTAAATGAGCACAACAGGTATCATTAGAAAATAAAAGATGCAGGCAATAACTATTACWTTCATATTAAGAGTCACTTTTAGGCCACAGAAAAGCCTCAAATGGACTAAAAAAAAGAAACAACTTTTAATTTTTCCTGAAGCTAAACATTGTGGAGAATTTTACTTACATATATGATTATGGGTGTGTGCATGTATTTTATCTTTTAATTGGAATCAGAAAACAGAAAAAACAAACAAGCTGAAGAGAAAACCACTGGATAGCAAATTGGCATTTATGTTAGCATGTATGCAAGTGGAGTTAAACATAAATGAACTGACAATTTAATTTTATATTAATTTTTTATGAAGCAAAACTGCTAAATAGTTGTCATCCCAGCTGACAAAATGTGCATTTTTATCTGTTGCTGTCATTGCAAACTCATAGTCTGACATTTCAAATGGTGAACAATCAGTAGGTTAATGAAAAACACCAACATATTAATTGATTGCGTTTGTGAACTTCAGGTGCACACGTGAGCAAGGCTGGACTCAAGCGATGGATGATTATAAAAGAAAACTTTTTGTTAACTTCGGATGACCTTTCTGTAGTTTGTTMAATCTTCGGAYCATATTACRTTAATACTGCTMTSTGTGACTAGAAACCTTAAAGTCAGCGTGCTCATAATCAGAATTGTATRTTTCATGCATGATAAAAATAGTGTCAGTGGAGCCCCAAAAGTAGATCTGGCCCTGCATGTGAGCCACTTGTACCTGAGACTCCTCCTGCCATGTAGACGGCCATCATGACTCCCAGGGTGAAACCAATGTGGACGGTCAGCGGCTCTCCRAGAGCCCCTCTGCTCAGCACGGTCTGGGCCACTGAACCGCATCCAAAGAGCTGGGACACAGACGAGAACAAAAACACAAAGAGTGGAGGTAGAAAGACTCATTGTTTTTGATCATTCCAATTATACTTGCCATTAACACTAGCCCTCTTGTCCACAAACAGCCTCTGACTGCCACAGACAATTTGTCCAAGCTGCAGCTCAAAACAATCATTAATCCCTCACTTATTAGGTAAAGGCCTCAACTAATTTAGAGGGGGGAGCAGGGGAGAGCAAAGAAAAAAGTGTTGAGGCGAGAGCAGTCATCCACAAATAAAAAGGCAAGTTGTGGAAGCTGCATCACCCCTCTGATGGGCCATCAGAGGCATTAAAGCAGAGTCTTTTAGGAGGTGACAGGTGGTGGTCAGGACTGCAGACTGGGAGCACAGACTCACTAAAAAGTCCTGCTGTGCATTTCAAAACAACACAGGGTAAGACATTTTTAACTTTCTGTAAGGTGCACCAGTAAGTCACCAAACTTAATAAAATATCTTGGTTTTGTTTCTACAACTTCATAATAGTAAGAAAATGCTTAAAACATTCTGTACATTTAAAACGTATTCCTGTGGCACCTTATGGTGTCTTTAACTGCCAGGACTGAATTACAGCTTTAACTTTTATCATCTGTTAACAGAGACAGCAATCAGTCCTCAGAGACCGGGTTTGACATCTTATTAGCAGACAGACTGACGGCTTTAAATCGACTGTTTAAGCTGGATGACAGGTGCAGCAGGGAGGTATACTCACTATCAGGACAAATATCCCCAGAAATTCTGCCAGGAACTCCTTAAAGATGTCCTGCCTCAGGCCAAATTTCTCCTTCAGCTTCCTCCTGCTCTCATCTTCCATGGTTTCTGCGCCTCCTCGAGGGTCTTCCTCCGAACACAACAAACAGCAAACAACTGGGATGGAGTGTGTGTGTGAGCGTCGGTGCAGGTTGTTGCCTCCCACTCATGGAGCAGCTCTGTGTGAGCTGAGGGCCACGTTAAGCTCTCTGCTTCTGTTTCCCTGCATAACCACAAGGGGTCCACTTTTTTTTTAAATTCTCATAATGTGGGCTCCACATTCCCACACAGCTGCTGAGAACGTGAAAACAAGATGAATAATTGATTGCATGCCAAATTATTTAAATGTATATAAATTTTTAAGCATTGAACATATATAGATTTAACTTATTACATCTAAAAACCCCTAAAAAAAGCTTTTTCTGCCAGTGAGAGATAAAATGAATTACAATAGAACTTGGGTTGAGGACAGAATATTTCATGAAATGTATTTTTTATTTTAATTAAACTCACAAATGGGAGTTAAATTATATAAATTGCAATTTATATAATGTCCTAACTTTGGCTTTAAATTCATGCATTCTAGCATTAATTTAAAAAAAGCTTATTTAAATTAGTATAAACACAGAAAAAGCACAACTTTGACTGTTTCATTTTTTGGCACCACTGCTCAATAACAATAAGGAGAAATTATTAATAAATCATTATTATTGACAGCACTTTTTAAGATTAATCTGCAGGTATAATTTAATTACGTTAATCATAAACTGATAGTTTAGATTAAACACAAAACAATATTTATGTTTATATTTTGTAATTAACATAAAATGTAAATGGAGTCAGTGTCATTAACAATGTAAAATTCAGTTAAACTGAAATATTAAGAGATGTAAGCAATTTGGAAACTACATGCCACTGAGAAAAATAAAAACACACACATAATAACTAACAGAATAGCAAATATCCAGTAAAACAGGTGAAAAGATAGTGGTCCAGTTCCCAGACGTTTTTCTTTTATTTATTTTTTTTTCACATTCACATTCATTTAATTAATTTGTGCCAATTCACAACTAAAATCTTCTCAGGGCAACAAACCAAAACATTCACAACAGTACATTATGCTATACCAATTATTAAGTTATTTAACTAAGATAACTAGCAATCAAGTTAATAACACTTGAGTGTTTTTAATGAAAGAAAGAAACCCAGAAWATATAAATATCGATTTCTGTGCAAATCTAAAGCCTATAATAAAAATAATAATAATGAACCTACTCACTCACCTCTTATTCCCGCCTCGTATATACAGTTAATC